TCATGATATAGCTTCTGACCGCACTGCACGAGTTAGCGGCGCCATCTTTTGGCGGGACACCCAAAATTAATGCTAGCTAAATGCAAAGTGTGTGAAGGAATGAGTGTTGGTGAGTGTATGAAACTAATACTTACCAGCTGGCTGATAACTGGCCGTTGCGTGTTTCTGGGTGAACCATAATACTGTATCAGCCATTGGCTTTCACAATGAAACAGTCTGTTTACTTGCAATTATGAAATTCAGCCTCTTATGCAAATTGCAGGTCACACTCACATTTCTGTTTGATCAAATCAAAATTGACACAAAGCCTCATTGGCATATCACTTTGTTGGCCGAAACATGGTTGTGCTGCTTATCTTATAACACACTGTTTCCATAGTTACAGGATTGTGCCAGCGCTCCACGCAGCATAACTTTACACATGTGTAACTGAAGCCCTGAGTTAAATGAAACACCTTCTGTGGTGTAGTCCTACATTTCTTCACCTCTCTCTCCATTAGTTCAAGACTAGCCTCTGCTTTAGTGTGACCATTTGGCCCCCTAGTGGTCAAAACGTGCAGGTTGAGGACAGGTACATGTTACCGTGTTGACAAATGGTCAGATATTGTGGTTGAGAGAGATGAAACTAAATAAATATATATGGTAAATAATCTCTGTGCCGTGGGCTACACCAGACATCTCATTTGGGGAATGCCGATTCCTCTCCCTAATAGTATAATCTAAACCTCAAGCCTCAAGTCAGCTTGCAAATAAAGACGGTATATAAGTTATGGATGCCTCTGTTTGGTGTAATAGTAGTAATAGAGTGCAACAGTCGGGTCATGGAAGTAAAATCGCATTCATTTTCCCCAATGGGAAATTATAAAAAAAAAGTAAACAATAACTTGTAAACCTTTAAAGACAGACCTACTGTGAGCTACGAGGTTGTTAATTGATGGTATTTGCTTCTGCTGAAACTGTCAGCCAATATCATTTCAATTTATTCTTAAAAATAATCCTGTTAAACAGCTGAATTCGTGGTGAAAAACTACATTACCCATGATGCTTCACAGAAAATTCCACCAATCAGTAGTCACCACAATCAAAATAGCTCTGCCCACTCCAATGAAGCATTACGAATGATGTAATCGAGTCAGTCTCTCTGCACACTCTCAAAATACTTAAATATTTCTGTCTATGTGCATATTGTGCAATAAACTTGAACTTAAAATATATATTTTATATATATAGTCAACATTTTTAGCTTTTTTCCTGCCAATTCTATGTTTTCACTGTTATACGGTAGGGGGCGCTATTACACGTCTTCTGAAAGAGTACAGAATCTCTGGATCAAAACACATGCGAAGAAGAAGAATAACGCAATCATCAAACATTAAACGGCATATAAATCAAAACTGCCTAATGTTACTGAATGAAATGTCGACCCAGGACGAGTTACAGGACTGTGAAGCTTTAGGGGTGTTGATGAACTCGATCTACTCCATCTGTGTTTTGATCATCGTTCTGAATCCGATCTGGACATAACGTTAGTCTTTGATAAAAACGTTATTTTCTCAGTTATGTGCTCAATGTTTTATTAAAAAAAAAACACATATAAGTGTTGATAAAAAAGAATGCATTAAACTAGAATAAAACGTTTTTTTCTTTCGTTTGATATATTGCATGTTCAGATATTCATACAACAAAATATTCTGGGGGCCATGAAAACATTTTGTGAACATGCTAAAAAATTCTAGCGCTGACTGGCAATATTTTTCAAAAACGCTTAGTAGTTTTATATTTCTTTATTGTTTTTAATTTGATTATGCTGTTCATGGGGTCGTAGTTCTTTCTCCCACTAAAGCTGTTATGTACACAGTCTTGTATCTTAGTTTTTTTGGTGTCTAATTTTCAAATACTACTTTGCTTCAAATCAAAGTTTGTAGTGTTGTGATTCACCTCGTAGCTTGTTGGCTTGGTTCATGGCCTATAACGCTTTAATAAAGACTTTTTTTTAAAATCGCTATGGAAGAAATGAATGGGGAAAAAAACCACTTCAGGAACCAGCGTTGCTGAAAATTTTGGTGGGTGCTAATTCACTCTATACAAGTGCACCATCTTCATATATATATATATATACACTACCGTTCAAAAGTTTGGGGTCGGTACGATTTTAAATACTTTTAAAAGAATTCTCTTCTGCTAACCATGGCTGCGCTTATTTGATTAAAAATACAACAAAAATCAGTTATAGTATTAAATATTATTCCAGTGTAAATCAGCTGTTTTCTGTGTGGATATATAGTAAAGTGTAATTTATTCCTGTGATCAAAGCTGAATTTTCAGCATCACCAGTGTCAGTGTCTTCAGTGTCAAATGATCCTTCACAAATCAGTATAATATGAGGATTTGATGCTCAAGAAACATTTATTATTATTATCAATGTTGAAACAGTTGTTGGTCTGTCAGTTGTACAGTTTTTTTTTTTTTTTTTAGGATTCTTTGATGAATAGGAAGTTCAAAAGAACAGCATTTGTTTGAAATAGAATCTTTTGTAACATTATAAATGTCTTTACTGTCCTTGATAAATAAAAGTATTGATTTCTTTCCTCCAAAAAATAAAAATAAAATTCTCACTGACCCCAAACTTTTGAACGGTAGTGTATATATATATATACTAGTCATTGATGTATCTCAGTAGGAATCCACGCATCTGAAATTTAGTGTATTGCGGAAATTTCCCCATGTGGATTTCGCATCGGATTCAAGTTTGTTTGTTTTTGCACATGTGAAATTTCCCAAAAGTTTTGCTAATGTGGCCATGCCTTTACATTTAAAGTCATAGAGATTTCACAGAGATTTGAGTGTGGGCTCTTTTGACTTGGGCAAATAAGAAACCATCTATCAACCACTCGGAAATCTCCACTATGTAACAACAACTTGTTAAAAACAAACCTCAGAAACTTCATAGCAACGCCTTGGCAACCACCTGTAACTCCCTAGCCTACAGGCAGTGAGAAACCACTCACATTTACACAGAATATGTAAACAAATTACCCTATTTTGAATCAAGAATTGACCTGCCGCATGATAAAATGTACAAAAACATCTCATAGAGGCGTAAAGAAGGGGCCTTAGAAACTTGGGAGTGTTGTCTTTTGTCCTAGTTTTACATATGCAATCAACATCGAGTTATCTCTTTTATCATAAGCTGCAGTTTCCTTCCTTCCTACGGGAAGCTTTTACTGAACATTAGTGCACAAAACCAAAAAGACGTGATCCGCACCAGTCCAACTCTTCAGAGAGAGAGAGCAAAGTGCGTGGACGTTTGATCAGCTATTGGCTGCGGTTTGGATGTGTTGCTATGGCAACAGCTGGTTCTGTTGTCGTGTGGTTTGTTTGTGGAGCCGTGAGGTGAGCTTGTCCCTGAGTGCTTCTCTCAAGACACACTCACGCGCACACAGGACCCAGAGCTGTTTAGTTTGTTTGCCTGTTCACATGCTTTTTCTGCTGTGCGTGTACTGAATCGTCCATCTTGATGAAGGGCAAAACGAAGCACTATATCACAGGTAGGCCTCACAGATGCAGCTGATTGGATGACTAAGTTTGTTGCATGGATATTTGCTCAACAAGTGTGTTTCCTGCTCATTGATTGGTGTTTTAGTAGCTGTATTGCTGTTATACCAGTTCTAAGAGTTAATGTCCTGCTTGCTTAATTGTATTTGCTTTATAATGCTTTATTTATGACGACTTGTGTGTTATTGACCGTGAGAATCAGTGGTGTCATTTCACCAAAAGCAGAAAATTTGACTCCCTCAATGTGACGACAAGTGTGTTAGTTTTGATCATAACCAAAGCAAATTAGACCGTTATAGACCACTGTTATAAGGATTAAGGGTGTTCAAGTACTTCACACAACTTTTTCCAGCACTTAAAGCTCAAAAGTCTGAATATTATCCAATTGAAATGTTATTTTTAATGTGATGACTAAACATATTTGTATTCATCCTTCAAAGATTGTCTGAATTTGTAAAACTAAAAGTTCACAATAGGAAAACTAACACTTGGTGAAATACAAATACTTTCATTTTAAAATAAAAAAGAGACTAAATTACCACTATAACCTGTAGATGGCAGCGGAGTACTACTTTTCTCATTAGCCATTTCCACTCCCTAATATAATTTTTTCTCACTTTTTTCGTTTGAATTTTTATTAGAGAATATCAAATAGCTAAATAATGATTTTTTTTTTGGTCTATTTTTGTCACTTTTTGTACTCAAGTGGGAAGTATATATTTGTAGGAAAAGTCACAAAGCCTCATGAAACGCAAACTTTTCTTCAAATTGTGAATGAAATGACACAAACAGGCAGTGAATAAAGAGCGCTTCATTTATAATCACAGAAGCTCAGTCCGTTCAGTGCAGTTCAGTTCACTCCCGTTTTAATCAATGAATTTGACTGAACTTCACAATGAATCTTTTCTTTACATCGTGTCTGGTTCGTTTGTTATAATGAGAGGATTTGTGTGCATGTAAAACTTAGTAAACTTGCACTAAACAAACTAAGAAAGTGAGAATCCACTCAGTATCGTTCAAAATACTAAATGATACTGAGTGGATTCTCACTTTCTGAGTAAATCCTCTGATTGGTCATTATTTTCAACAGAAATGCCTGTGATTGGCTACAATTCTCTGCAAAATCACATTGTAAATAGACACTGTTGAACTCGTGTGACATCAATATGACAACCAGATCTATTTAACTTACTTTACATTTACAAATTACATGTTGTAATATAGGCTAACTCAATAAAAATATTACTTTGTAATAACCTGACCAGGAATCCAAGGCATGGCAGGTCCAAGAATGCAGGAAGTAAAGATAACTTACTTCACTCTTTCTCTGTTGTTTCACTGTTTCTCTTCTTCTATCACTTTCTCTTTGGCTCCATTGAAGTCTGTTTTTCTTTTTTTGAGCACATCAACTCATGGCCCTGTTTTTCTGTCCCGTCTGTTTACAGAGCTCCAGTGATGCGCCAACCACTCCCAAGTTTAGTAAAGACCAGCGAGACATCTTCTTCCCAGCATCATTCTCCACGCCGTGCCTCCACACACACTCACACACACACCCAGCATCAGCGCAGGACGGGGAAGCCAAGCTGAGCAAGACCCCTCGGCCACTTCTCATCCAGACACAAACACACACCACTCCATCACAGATCTACTGCCAACCCGACCAATCGCAGCAGCGCAAGACGCCTAGCCAGCCAATCGCAAGCATGGCCTTTTTGCCCCACACAGGTACGGGATCTAATCTTTGCAGTAACACGTTCATTTCACATTCACATTTATTTGTATAGCGCTTTTCACAATACACATCGTTTCAAAGCAGCTTTACAGAAAAGTCCACATTATTACAATTCAGAGTTATCTGTTACCATAAGGTAACTGTCTTAGTTATGTATTTTAGAAATGTACATATACAAATCACAGTTAGCTAAAAATGTATCAATTTAAACAATATTATAATTTAAGGCAGAACAGAAATCAAGACGCATCAACTGTACAATTTATGTGTAATGAACAGATAAGCCTGAACCTCGAGCTGAGACTCAAACACAACGCTACATAACCGCTTATTCTTATCAGTTCTTTTGTCTTTGGGTCGCTATATTTCCCACAGATTTCTGCTCTTACAGATACAGACAAAGTAGCACAGTAAAGATTACATTTATATGAATGCATTAGTGAGAGAGTGATTGCGAGTGAATTAATTCTACATGGCAGCGTCTCTCTGCTAATAGTGAAGCTGTGGGTTTTAGTTACTATGAAATATGATAAATCACAGAACGGTGTTGACAATACATTTCTGTGAATGTTTCTGTGTGCCCGATCTGCACATGATTTGTGCGCTTCGGTTTGTATGTGTGTGTGTGTGTGTGTGTGTGTGTGTGTGTGTGTGTGTGTTACAATGCAGCAGCGCATTAGTTTAAAACGACGATTCATTTACCTGTACAATAAGCTGTTTAAAATGAGCATTCACGCGATAAATCTTGAGCTTCCAGGTGGTGTAATCAAACATATATGTGCAGCGCTCTCTCGGTGTACAGGTGAAACTCGAAAAATTAGAATATCGTGCAAAAGTTTATTTATTTCAGTAATTCAACTTAAAAGGTGAAACTAATATATTATATAGACTCATTACATGCAAAGTGAGATATTTCAAGCCTTTATTTGTTATCATTTTCATGATTATGGCTTACAGTTATGGCTTACAGTTACAGTTATGAAAAAGTTTCCATAAGCTGTAAGCCATAATCATCAAAATTATAACAAATAAAGGCTTGAAATATCTCACTTTGCATGTAATGAGTCTATATAATATATTAGTTTCACCTTTTAAGTTGAATTACTGAAATAAATGAACTTTTGCACGACATTCAAATTTTTCGAATTTCACCTGTACATTTGTTTATTTTAACTGTTGGAAATGGAGCGTAAAAGTGGACTTCAAAGATTTCTTATCCTGTTGCGTCCTCTATAGGCCACGATCAGCGACTAGTCGACGTCAAGCATCATGGCAGAGCATTAAAGTCGACTAGTCTGTGCAACCCCTAATGTATATAATCCTTAGAATACTACATAGCATACTGTTCACTGCATACTGTGCAGTATATGCTCTTATACTTCCTGTTATTAAAAAAAATAGTGTATGAAGCAGATGAAAACATATTGCAGCATAATGTTTAATTCACTGAGTGGCATCAAATTATGATTTCAGAGATACACTAGACAAGTTTGGGGTCTGTAAGATTTATTTAAAATAATTTATATTTTTTTATTTTAATACTGGTATTCAGCAAGGATTCTTTAAATGTATCAAAAGTTACAGTAAATATATTTATAATCAGCATATCTAAATGATCATGTGACTCTGAAGAGTGAAGACTGGAGTAATGATGCTGAAAATCCAGCTTTGATCACAGGAATAAATGATATTTTACGATATATTCACAAAGAAAACAGTTATTTTAAAATGTAGTAATATTTCAGACTATTGTCGTTATTTTACTGTATACTTTTGATCGAATAAATGCAGCCTTTGTGAGCAGAAGAAACTGCTATTAAAAGCATTGAAAAACCAACCCCAAACTTTTGAACGCGAGTGTAAATATGGCTATTTAGCGTTTTTGTTCCAATTTTGTAAAATATTCAGTTTGCAGTCCCAACAAATAATGAGAATAATAAAAAGAAAAATATCACACTTGGAAGTTTAATTTGAGCAAATTGCATTGTGGGATTCCATGAAGTATGCTGTGTTGAATACTTGTTGTTTTGGCTAATGTAGTCATCTGGGATATTGTAATTATCCAGAAAAGTTTCAGACTAAGCGAGTACACTGCATTACAGTAAGTACGAGTAGTGTGTGTTATATTATTTAAAACACACCCTTTTTTTAGTGGGCGCTGCTTTGGTTGGCACTCAGTTGACAGACATGTGACCAGAAGTGTGTTTGTTCATGAAATTATACATACTGTTTATGATTTACTCTATATAACCATTTCCTGTTGGGGATCAACATCGAGTTTATAACTTCAACAAGTTTCATAACTAATCGAGCCAGCCGTGTCACTTCCTCCTGTGTTCGGTGTGTGTCGTTTAGGCTGATGCGTTCATGCTCTGTTGCTAAGGAAACAAGGATGAATGCTCAAGTACATGATTGTGTTAAGCGTGCGTGTATACGACTGTGTGTGTGTCCTTGAGAGGCCAAATGAAAGTGCATGATGTTCTACAACATAATGGGGTTTGAGCCGGTCAGCTGTCTTTAAAATCAGTCAGTTTCTGTCGTATTAAAGCTTGTCAAAAGCTCTTTTTCATCACAAGCCGGCGGTAAACATAAGCATGCTTAGATGCACACAGACATACTATATCTGTCACTTTATTCGAGATTACTGGTGCGATGATCAGAGTCCGTGGTAAACACTGCCGTCATTCTCACAGCCATCGCAACATTGCATCTCAGACACATTATTCTCCACAAACACTGAAAAATAAAGGCCGAAATCATCTTAGTGTTGATATGCATCAGCATTGTTGTTCTTACAGGGTTTCTGCGAGTCTTTAAAAACGTCTTAATTCACCCTTACATAAATGAAGTCTTAAATCAGAGCAGAAAGTCTTGGCATTAAATGCATGCGATGCAGAAAATGAAAATCTTCCTCAGTATTTTTGTCCTGTTTACCCATACAAACATCTGAACAAGTTTATTACATCAAGGTACATTTATTTGAGATGCAAATGTAAAATGAAGTCTCGAAAGATGTAACAAAATGTATTGTGCTTAAAACAAGAACAAATATCTGTCAAAACTTCTGAATGAAGCCGCTTTTTCTGAGCCTATTGGCAGATGTGTGTTCTTGTTTCAGTCGTAAACTTCATTTTGATCAATTTCACAGAAAACAAGACTTCTTGTTTCGTCATTTTACATCTGAAGTAAATGTATCCTGATTTAGGAATCTTTAGATATTTGTACTAGTCAAAAAAAGAGAAATACTGAGGAAAAACAGAAGTGTAATCAGAAGGTACAATAAAAGTTATTTTCATAATGTTGTGTTTTTGGGGGGTGAAAGGAGTTAAAAATGATCAGATATTTGTTGGAAGTGTTTCACCCTAAACATTTGCATTTAGAGAACATATTGATGTATTGTGTTCCCTTACATTTATGCCTTACATTTTCTTTACTTGATCTTAAGAAGGTCTTAAATAAGTCTTAAATTAACCTTCATAAAATATGCAGTAACCCTATGTTAAGCTATTAACATTTATTTTTCTTAATTCAAAAAATAGAATAGAATATAGATATTAGATTAAAATCTTAAATCATTTAAAATTTTGTCTCAACTGAAAATCCAGCAAAAAAAAAAAAAAAAGTCAAAGCATGTAACAAAACTTAAAATGAAAATTGTAAATATATGTACTTGCATTATGTACTTGACGCTTTAATGCAGAGCTCAGTTGGTTTGCACTCACAGAAGAGTTTTGAATGTGGCCCATCCTGACTGTGTGTGTGTGTGTGTGTGTAGAGGAGCGAGAGGAGGCCACGGCGTCTGAGGGTCTGCTGTACCGTCAGCATGAGTCTCACCTGTGTCAGCAGATGAAGATGATGGCCAGTGTCTCTCAGATTCACAACACACACGAGTGGCCGTCCTGCTCCACTCACACCAGCACAGGTACTGCAGATTCACACACTCCATTGCTCATGTTCAGCAGGCAATATGCAGGAGCAATACTGCACTCTATTGTCAAGAAGTTAAGTGAACCGTTTGGGCTCATTAGTCCTTAAAGCCTGCTGTATCATATATGATAGGTGCGTTTTTAAGACCTCGAAACTATCGACAACATCAGGACCTGTCGCTCTTCTGTCGTCTGATTGAAGGTTTCGATTTTTTAGCAATTAAAAAGCCTTTTATTATTATTGTACAAACGTCCTGCTTTCTAAAATCATCTTTAATGATTTTAAGTAAACTTTTGAGTAACTTCTATATTGTTAGTAATATTTTAAGATGAACACTTACTGGAATGAAGCCACTTAGATTTCCTAGCACTTAAATATCATCTTACTGAGACATATTATTGGCAGATATAGAGTGACGACTGATATTTATATGCGTTTTATGTCAGTAGTCTGTTATAACGATCTCACTGATTTACAATCAAGCATCAGAATTTCATTATTCTTTTTGGCCATATAAATATCAGCATCTGCACCAAATTGCAGTTTTGCAATAAAATTGAGCTGTTTTTTCCTCCTCAACTATGACTCACTATATCATATGAGCCATAAAAGCATGATGTGTCAATAATGATACTCAACAAAAATGCATCAACGAATTTAATAGATTTTGGCTTATAAACCATTAGACAAAATGGTTTATTAGACAATTATTAACCAATTATTTCTTCAATAAACCATTTAAAAAATGAAACATTTTCTGGAAATGATAATTTATTTTTATTTATCTTTACAGATTTAAAAAAAAAAAAAAATGAGCAAGGTTGCATTAAATTGATCAAAAGTGACAGTAAAGACATTTATAATGTTAAAAAAGTTTTGTTTTTTTAACTTTCTGTTCATCAAAGAATCCATCACTGTTTCTGTACTGTTTTCAACACTGATAATAATCAGTTTCTTTCTCATCAAATCATCATATTAGAGTGATTTCTGCAGGATCATGCGACTCTGAAGACTGGAGTAATGATGCTGAAAATTCAGCTTTGATCACAGGAATAAATTACACTTTACTATATATTCACATAGAAAACAGTTATTTTAAATTGTAATAATATTTCACAATATTACTGTTTTTACTGTAATTTTGATCAAATAAACACAGCCTCTGTGAGCAGAAGAAACAATAAAAAATCGTACCAAACTTTTGAACGCTAGTGTAATTATTTGTTAAATGAATTATAAATAAGTAAATAAACAATAACACGGTAACACTTTACAATAAGGTTCATTAATTACATTAGTTAGCATGAACTAATAATGAACTGCACTTACACAGCATTTATTAATCTTTGTTAATTTCAACATTTACTAATACTTTATTAAAATCTTGGGTAACACTTTATTTTACAGTGTCATTGCTACATATGTTACATGTACTTACCATAGTAATAACAGTAAATGATGCATAATTACATGCAAATAGCCCTCAACCAAACCCTAATCCTACCCTAACCCTATAGTAAGTACATATTACTCAGTACTTAAATATATAATTACACTGTGACAATGACACCTTAAAATAAAGTGTAAGCAAATCTTGTTAACATTAGTTAATGCACTGTGAACTAACATGAACAATGAGCATCTGTATTTTTATTAACAAAGATTACCAAATACAGTAACAAATGTATTGCTCATGGTGTGGAAATTGTAGTAAATCGCAAGAGACTACTTCTCACATTGAGCACACGAATGCGTGTTTCATTTATTATTATTGAAAACAAAAACACTCAACTCCAAAAAGGCGCTGACTAGCGTCTCACGTCATCACGCATACAGAACATTTAAAGGGACCACGATCCCTGAACAACAGTGAGGAACAATGCCAAGAACAAAGGTGAATTATGTATGTCAAAGTCACTACAATGGTTAGAAACTAAATGAACCTAATTGTAAAGTGTTACCGATAACACTTACTCGTTCTCTACTTCAGTTGGTCACATTTTTAGAATAATAATAGTAATATAAAGTAAGAAATGACATGTGAATGTTTCCTGATTCCTCCAGAAAGTGAGCAGTGGAAGCAGGGTGACCCGAGTCGCATCCGCTCCAGAATCCCCCCCAACATGCCCAAACTGGTGATTCCCTCCACAGTCACCAAATTCCCCCCCGAGATCACCGTCACGCCCCCCACACCCACCCTGCTCTCGCCCAAGGGGAGCATCTCTGAGGAGACCAAACAAAAGCTCAAGGTCCGTATCTTGTCCTCGCTGATCATCAAGATGAGCTGTTTACAGTAGTGACTAGGGGTGTAGCGACACACGTCACTGAACTCCCAATACCATATTATTGCCATACTCCAAAACACACGATAAAAGGTTAAAGGATTAGTTCACTTTTAAAAAAACTTTTGCTGATAATTTACTCACCCCATGTCATCCAAGATGTCCATGTCTTTCTTTCTTCAGTCGAAAAGAAATTAAGGTTTTTGATGAAAACATTCCAGGATTTTTCTCCATATAATGCACTTTACTGGGCACCAAACGGTTCAAGGTCCAAAAGACAGTTTCAGTGCAAACTGCAAACTGTTCAAAGGGCTTTAAACGATTCCAGACGATGAATAAGGGTCTTATCAAGCGAAACGATCGCTCATTTAAAAAAGAAATAACAAAGTTTAAGTTTTATAAGCTCACATGCTCGCCTTGCTCTGTTCTGTGATGCACGTTCGTGACTCTCCTGTTCGAACTCGTTCATCAAAATGAACGAATCTTTTTTCGAGTCATTTGATTCATTTAACGAACGAAACGAACGAATTGACTCGGAAAAAGATTCGTTCATTTTGATGAACGAGTTTGAACAGGAGAGTCACACAGAACAGAGCAAGGCGAGCATTTGAGCTTATAAAACTTAAACTTTGTTATTTCTTTTTTAAATGAGCCATCGTTTCGCTTGATAAGACCCTTATTCATCGTCTGGAATCGTTTAAAGCCATTTGAACAGTTTGCAGTTTGCACTGAAACTGTCTTTTGGACCTTGGACCGTTTGGTGCCCAGTAAAGTGCATTATATGGAGAAAAATCCTGGAATGTTTTCATCAAAAACCTTAATTTCTTTTCGACTGAAGAAAGAAAGACATGGACATCTTGGATGACATGGGGGTGAGTAAATTATCAGCAAATTTTTTTTTTAAAGTGAACTAATCCTTTAACAAAAAAGTGTACTGTTGATTAAAATGATAAATTTGATATTACATTGTGTGTGTAAATGAATAGGCTTGGATTTGGTGCTGGAAACCCAACGCACAGGACAATAGAGACACCAGAATAAACATATTCATGATTCTGAAGCTGAAAACACAGAATTATTTGAGATGAATATGCTTTCACTCTGTCACTGACTAGATATATTTATAATAATGTAGGCCACTTTTAACATTTGGCATAATCAGGACCCACAAATATTCCCCTATTGCATTATTATACATTATATTCAACATTATATATAGTACTGACACTAAAACTCTGAAAACTTTGACATTTTTTTCTCTCACACAGTAATGTTTATTTTAGGTGAACTATCCACAATACAGATTTGTATTGTATTGCATTTGTGTATTGTTACACCCCTAGTATTGACACATCCACAGATACAAAGTATTTGGACACTTTTGAAATGTATTTTAAGTGTCCACTTTCTCTTTGTCCCGTCAGAATGTGATCCTGTCCTCTCAGTCGGCAGCGAACGTGAAGAAAGACACTCTGGCTCAGCCCGCTTTAGAGGTCCAGGAGACGTCGAGTCAGGAGTCGTCCCTGGAGAGCGAGTCCGATGAGGAAGATGACTACATGGACATCTGACTCCATCTCCTGTAGCTGCAGCTGAGCTCTGACGGTTGCGTCTTCGTCTGGTTTTCGTTTTTCAGCGAAAGGGCTTTTTCCTACCCTGGCACTTGTGTCCTGTTGTATTTGCTCCTCTGCTGCTACGCATGGACTGGGTTTCTATGTTCTTCTGTTGTTTTTTCGTTGTGTACGATCCTGCAAAGTGCCATTTTTACTCCAGCGGTTACAAAAACCTTCAACATCACGGAGAGTCTGAGGAAAACTGTTCTACTTAGGGATGGATGGCGTAATATTGGCAGTTTGTGTAATGCAATTTACTCACTCAAGAGTTTCCTGGGCATTAAATCCCTCACGACGTTGTTTACAGATTTAACAGGAAGTAGGTTTTGCTTGACGTTTGGTGTAAAATAAACACGAGTCATATCACTACCAAGTTTCAGTGGCATTGCAACCAAACAGGGAATGTCAGAAGGCAAAAGTGGGTTTTTTTCCAGCCGTGTGGAAACGCATCTGTGTTTTCCTGCATGTGTGTGCCGTAACTTCTTCTCTCAGAGCTGCCTACACGTACATCTGCGTCTCTTCGGTCGTCCACGCTTTAGCTGTCGGCTTTTTAAAGGAGAGTCCTATACATTTCTACACGGCACTTCAAGAGTTCAATTATTATAGATTACTGTATTGGTGGAAAAATATCAAGTTCATTTTAAGACACCAAAAATTCCATCGCTGTTGTATTACTGTTAGTGTCTCACGGTTTCATTTGTGGTTATATTACATTTCCATTTGAGGATCATCTGAAAGAGTTAATTGTGCCAGTCTTGTCACCAGCACTGAGAAGATGTGACCATTATTATTCATATCACAATTAAAATATGATTGTGAACTAGCTACAGAAGAGTAGAATACAAATTTTTTTTTTTCAAGGATTATGCCAAAATGTCTGGCATCACAGGCTTTTTTTATGAGATGAAAATGCCTAAAAATGGTGCTGATCCCTTATTTTTTGGCTTTTTAAATTATTCTTTGAATGGTTAAATGGAAAGTTCACACAAAAATGACAGTCCTTTTTTCATTCGTCTCACTTTCTTTCGTGGAACACAAAAGGAGAAATTCAGCAGAATGTTTCATACAATGAAAGTGGATGGAGAGCAGGAGCTGTCAACACTCAAAAATGACAAAAAGCACCTTAAAAATAGTCCTATTTTTAAATTCATTAGAGACTTCAGTGTGAGAAACACTCGCGTTTGTGTTCATTCTAATAATAGGTTTCAGTGAACTATCAGGCCATATTTATGGTGCTTTTTGCCATTTTTGGAGCCGACGTTTACTTTCATTGGATGGTAAAGAACATCCTGCCAAACATCTTTTGTGTTCTATACGAGTTTATAATGACATAATAGTGAGAAAATGAAGACAGAAACTTACTTTTTAGGTGAACTGTCCCTTTAACCGAAGAAAAGTGCCCTAAGCTCAGTTGTTTGGGTTCTTGGCCTGTGGGATTTAGTTTGAAATTGAAGTAGCACTGCTTTATCTCCGAGCATTAAGAGCATGAGTGATCTTTAGTTTCCTCATGACGTGTCTGTATGATCATGGCTGGCGCTGGTAGTGTTTCCAGCCAAATCACAGTTTTTCCAGAGTTAGTTAGACGGAGGAATGTTTTTTACCGAACGTTTTCTACTTGTAGACGGATAAATTAGCTACCAGTATTTTTTTGAGTGCCGAATTTTTCAACATATGAGGACTTTGAGATGTTTCGATGCACTGAGCATGTGTGACCAAACTACCTGTACACTGAAAAAGAGATGTTTCTATTTTTTCCTCTTTGTAAAATAATATTTTGTCTGTTGTTGTTGTGTTTTGAATGCTCTGTCTCTATGCTTGCGTTGAGAATGTAAGACGAGGTGGTCCGGGAGCTTTTCTGTGCTCTTTGGAGATATATGGGGTATTAATTATTCTGTCCTCAGGCTTTTTATCTGAGAACATTGATATTTCTGACTTGCTGCATTTGATGATGTCACAAAACCAAAAATACACTTACAATATTTTTACCTGATCTTTGGTGTTTGTTTGTTGTTGTTTTGTTTTTTTGAGATTACAAACAGATTTTTTTTACTGTTATTTCTACACATTGATATTTATGATAGCACAATGTAATTGCACAGACGTTCGACGTTCGCTCTATCGCCCCCTTAAGTGCTGGAATTGTAACTGCTACATTAATACTAAAACAAATGAGCTTGCGATGTGTCCGTAGCCTGGGAAAACCCAGACAACTTCCGACAAATTTAGATTTGCTCTGAAAGTTAGTCTGGGAAAGAGCTCATTCAAGCCCATTTCCAATCCGTCGAAATCGCGGCACCAATCAGAAGCGTTGGGGCGGGCTTTACTCGATGACGACAGCGCTGGGATTTTAAAGCAGATTTTGTAGCCTACATTACAAAGATGGATGCCGCCGTCAAACATCACTCGTTCCAATCAGCTATCGCGTCTGTTTTAAACAATTTGAACGTTTCCTTTTAGTTAAAAACCGACCAAAGAACAACACTCGGAGATGTTTCTCCGCCGCTCTGCATACGTCATCTCCTTCATCGCTCTGATTGGGTTTAGGTCTATATCCGCGACGTCCGTTGGTGACGCCCCTCTGGAAATGATTTGTCTATGACGCTTTGCCAGACCATAACTCAGTTACAACTGAGAATGCTCTGGTTTTAACCAGGCTAATGTGTCCGTCTCATTCAGATAAAATAATTGTGCAACTTACTCTAAAGGATTGTTTATACATGTGCTTTCTATGAAATCTCTCATTAGCTTCCATGATGCGATCAAAGAAATGGAAGGGAGATGAAGTGCATTCTGGGAACGGATGACATCATCTCCTCACAGTGACCACCCCGTGTGTTTTAGCCAGGCCATGTCAAAGGGAGTGTCCCGGGCCGGTGTGAAGCCCTCAGACTCGAGGAAGGCCATTAAGACCCATTAGCAGCTGCCAGAGGTTTCTTATGAAGTGCTGCCAATGTGTCATTCCCTCCCTTTGTCAGGCACACTACGCCAAGGGTTTGTTTTCTTACATACGGGACCAAATGTGTGTCAGATCTTTTTTTTAGGGGATGTTGGGGGGTAGGTGGTGATTCTTTGCCTCCTGTGTCCGTCTGTTGGCCTCCATCCGACCCAATACTTATGAGTCATAATTGGACTTTGATCTAAATTAAGGCCAATATGTAGTTCTGCTAATGATGTCGGGTCATTGGTTAGAAGGATGTTTGGCTTTGGTGAACGAGCCAATCATAGACGGCCTCAGGGTGTTTGTTTTAGTCGGTGCTGAAATGTAATCAATAACTGTTCTGACCGGTTGAATCATGTGATGAGGAATAGCCAATAATCTAAATAATACTAAGTGCAATATAAAGAAGTAATAACAAAATCTAAAAAATATTAACAATCATTTTCTTTTATTGAAATAAAGCTCAAATAAAATATAAATATTAGATGCATTCATGTTGCACTGAAAAGTCGAGAAGTATTAGAGTACTAAAATGACTCAAATAAATGAATGCTATATATAGAAATGTTTAAAAACAAACTAATAAAATGAGAAAAGCACATAACAAAATTACTTAAATCAATAAAAAAAAATAAAAGCTAATTCTAAATATGAATAAATACTATAAAAGTAAATAATACTGATATAACTTTGAACTTGGTCAGATATTGAGGCCTTTGGAATGATAAAATAATACAGCCTATGGAAATTGTAAGGATTTTTTAAAAATAGTCTATATGCGATGTATTACATTAATGTTTCTGACTGATGATATTTACATTTTATCATGCATTCCCTTTGATTTAAACCTGTGACCGTGGCGTTGTTTTATTAAATGCGAATTCATGCCATTTTAGAATATTACGTTCCCACAGTCATGGAAACCCTGGAAATATGGGGGAATTTAACATTTCTATTTTTATAAATGAATTAAAATGGGACGTAATTCAATCCAAACAACTCCTGAATATTCATTTTCCAAAAATATTTAACTAGCTAGAAATGATTCTTTGTGAGAGCAATTCGTGATTTTAAGCTTCAAACTACACTCTTAAAGAAATGCAGGGTTGTTTTAACCCAAATCTGGGTCAATATAGACAAACCCAACTGTTGGGTTCAAAATAAATTTAAAAATGTTACCAATTGGCTGGGTTTGTCCATATTTAACCCAAATTTGGTTAAAAAAACAACTCGTGGCACTGATTCCCCCTAGCTTTGCTGCCCGTTCTGAACGCATGATGACTTGTGTCATTGTGGACGTGTCGCACAGGACTCGTGTGTCTCAGCGTCCCCCGGGACGGCCCGTACCTGAGCTCTTAAAGTGGCCAGTTAGAGCATCAAAAGAGAAGATTGCATGGTTAATGCCAGGGAAAGGTGTGAGATTTCTCGTCGGGTCATGGCGGGGGGGCTCTTTATAGACCCCACAGCCGTCTGATCCCAGCACAGAGACCCTGTGTATTGGCAGCTGTTAAACTATTGAGTGACGATACGTCCACACACACACACACACACGAGCAGCAAATGGCAGAGGCGATGGCTAACACCTCCCGACTCCAGTCTACCATACGGGATGATGGAACCAGGTTTAAAGACATGATCAAAATCTCTTTTGTTCTCCTCAGCATTTCCTGTTCTTTTGAATTGGGAGAACGAAACATCTCTGGGATTCATCATCATCATCATAAAACTCTTTTTCTCTTTCCCGTGTTGAGAAAAGAGCAGTTGGTCTTGGCCATGACTTTGTCACTTCCTCCAGTTCGTCACTGAAAAGCACCGGCCAAACTGGTTTGAGATCAGCTGCTGGAGTCCCAAAGCAAAGCCATGGGTCCCAGCGTGAGTCTCAGCGGGACACTCTTGATCCCTGTGGGGTCTACGGTAGGAAACCTCCTGGAACGTTTAGATACGACACGGACGTTTCCTCTACAGAGCAGCCATGTGTTTTCAGTAACACATTAATGATGTTTTAACCTGATCAAAGATC